ATGAGAAGAGAGGGTAAGCAAGTTCCTCATAAAGGTTCCGGTATGTGTTTTATGCTTTATTAGATTCCTATATTAGTTGTCTTTTGTGACTTGATATGCTAGACTTTGATGTTGTCCTTAGTATGAATGAGATTCATTGTTGTTTTATGATATTGATGGTAGAACCCTACTTGGCCATTTTGAGTTTTGGGTAGGTTGAAAGGTTTGATGAATAGGGTGTTTAATTAATGCCTAGATGTGTTGAGTGAGTAGACTCCTCTAAAAAGGGTAGAAGTGTAATTTGCCATGGTTTAGAATCACCTTGTGTGATGGATGTGAAAACTTAGTGATGACTTGCTCCGACCATAGAATTGAAAGAAATAATGATTAGAAGAGTCCGTATAGACTTACTCCCAAGAGGGAGATGATGTGCTTAGATAGCTAGGTCATTGAGTGTTCTTGATGTACATGATATAGGTTTGCTTGGAAATTCTCACCTTGAGAGGTATAGTGAGTTTGGGAAGTTTAGTCCCGGTTTTGTAGGCTCATATGAGATCTTCAGTGGAGTTGGTAAGGTTGATTGTGAACTAGAGTTGCTTAATGAGTGGCACTGGTGTGTCCGGTTTTCCATGTCTCTTAGTTATAGAAGGGTGTTGGGGATTTGATATTCATAAATCCCTTAAGAAGAGTTGTGGAGTTAATGAGAATTCCTCTAATTTAGAAATATTGGTTGGGATCTTAGACCAACAAGTTAAGAAATAGAAAAACAAGGAAGTTGCTTCAATGAAATTATTAAGGACTGACCTATAGTGTGGGTTTTAGGTGAGGGTGCTACCTGGGAGGCTGAGGGCAAATGAGATGTCCCGATATCCTCATCCTTTTTCCTTCCATTCCTCCTTCAGCATTTTAATGATGAGTTCCTCATGGTTTGTGCCTTATGTGAAGTTATGCGTGTTTTAGATATTTCCATGATTTCCTTTTGTTATGCATATGCATGAAAGCTTGTGTTTTGAAGGAAAATGAGGTTACATGATTTATTTCCTCATGTTGTTGTGCATTGAGTATGAGTTTCCTATTTGACTTCATGAGATGAATATATGAGAATGCCTTAGTTTGGGGATGAGAGATTCCTCCTTGAATGAATGCATTTTTAGAGTAAATTGCATATGAGCTCCATGAGAGTATATATGTTGAGCATATTTTAGTTCGGAGATGGTCGTTCCTCCTTGAACATGAGTAGATGTTTAATTTCATGCATGTTGGGTTGTTAGATGTAGTTCCTACTTCCTTGTGATGCATTGAATATGTTTGAGTCGGAGTTGATGTTTCCTCGTTTTGAGCATTGTTATGATGTTGCATGCATGATGGGCTGCTAGTCTTGAGTCTTTACTTCCGTAAGGTGTCTAAATCCTCATTCGAGGACGAATGTCCCCAACGGGGAGATATTGTAACACCCTGTAGCTTAGTAGGTTAGTTAGGGCTAAGTGAGAAGGCAACAAGTCAAGGGCAAGGGACAAGAGCCGATGGAAAGGGGCGAAGGGTGCCCCATCTTCCCAAGGCACTACCCATGACCACGTGAGCCTTCACGGCTCGTGGTGACCACTACGACCCGTGGTGGTGAGGCAGTAGCCTCCTCGAGACTACCTAACTTGACCTTCTCCACATGATTCACTTCACGGCTCGTGAAGTCCTTGACGAGCCGTGAGAGGGGTCGTGAGGTTGACTTAGATTTTTAGCGGTTAAGGGGAAAGTTGCCTAGCTACTGTATCATGACCACGAGAGGCACCACGGCTCTTGGAGCCTCACGTGAAAGGCTTTTCACTAGACTTAGAGTTTAGCGTCAACTTCAAATGATGATATGTCTTAGCTCAAAACGAATTAGATGGGCCATTACCTATCCAGTTAGAGGTTTCTGAGTCCTTTCCAATGCCACCGAGTTTGCCCAATTTGCATCTCGGAGTAAAAAGTTATTTCCAAAATACTGAAGCACTGTCAGGCTGAAAATTCTTCACGACCCGTTAAACGGGTCGTGGTGATGATGGTGATCCATGAAGTCATCCTTCATGCCATTTCGGTAGTTTCCAGTGAGGGAACTTCTTTGGTCTTTTCCCAATTGTTTTAACTCAAAGATATGTCATTTTGCCCAAGCCAAGGACCCCTATATAAGTCATTTTAACACCAAAACTCACCCAATTAAGTCATTTATTCCAAGACACAAATTAAATCCCCAAAAGCTCTCCTCTCAAATATTTCTCTCTCTAAAACTTGAAGAAGACGATAGAGCTTGAAGCTTAGGCCAAGAACAAGACTCCATTATTGCAAGTTTTGTAAGGCTTTATAATCAAGATATGATAGCTTATTCATACATGGGTTATTCCATCCATGGAGTCCTCTAGAAATCCACAATTTGATGAAGAACTTCCCCAATTCAATTTTGGATTTCTTCAATGTTGTGGGTTATGATGAATATGGATCCAATTTAGTGGATTTAGATTATTTATGATTGAATGAGTAGTAAATAAGGTTTTTAGGAAGAATTTACATGTACCCATGCCTAAACCATGTCTAGAAGGATGAAATTGAAGTAAGTGGGTTTGATGCCATGAAAGGGGAAATTGAGGAATTAGATGTAATCTTCTAGGATTGATGATATGTGTAGTAGATTGCTTGAGATTAGGGAATATATATATATGAATTGTATGAGGTTAAGGTATACATGATGATCTATGATTATTATTGATTAAGATTGGGGTTATATGATGAATTATGACTAGAATTGCTTAAGAGTAAAGCATGTATGAGAAGTTATGATTAGAGTTGTCTTAAGATCTAGGCATGTAAGATGTTTATGAGATGTAATGTCTTAAAAATAATGTATGAATGACGACTTATTATTATTAGGGCTTTTATAGTAAGCCTTGTAGTTATGGATGATGATTTCTATGTCTTGAGAGTAAGGATAATATGATGAACTATATACGCTAAGGCTTTAAGAGTGAAGCTTGCATGATAATTGTAATGCCCCAGAAACTAGTACGCTAAACTAGAGAGTTCTACAACCTTGTGTTAGGGTTCTAGAGTTTGATATAAGGTTTAAGCTTGAAAAAATGACTTTCCGAACTTAGAATGAGGGTTTTAGGATTAGGGTGTTAAGGTACGACTCCCCAAGGACCAACCAAGGGGTCATTGAGGAGGACCTCAAAACAGCCCCAAAAGCTGTGAAAAAACAGCCTTCTTACGTAGTGCATCTATAGGCATTAGATGGACCCACACCCCATGGGAAGGGGTCATGGATCAAGGTCCCCAGTTCCCCTGATTGTTAAGCCCCAGTCCTCCACCTATGAGTGTGCAGCACGCCCCGTAGACCCACCCACGGTTCGTGGGTCGGGGTTTCATGAGTGGGGCAATTTTGATAATTAGTTGTCTTAAGTTGTGGACTTAGGGAATATTCTAGAATTAGCTAGTTATTAAGTAGGGTTGGCTTATTAGTAATTAGACCCCCTATATATACCTAATAGACTCTTAATTAGATGATTTCCAAATCATTATTTAGATTCCCAAAAGAGACCCAATTCCCTCAAGAAATTCTCTTTCTAGAAGTGAAGAAGAAGAGAAGAGAGCTAGGTCAAATTCTTCCATTGTTGCAAGATTTTGTGAAGGAGTTGAATCAAGGTATGTTAGATTATTCATCTATGGATTCTTCCATCCATAGAGCCCACTAGTTTTCCCCCAAATTGTGAAAATAAACCCCAATCGAAGCTAGGTTTTTACCTATGTTGTGGGTAGAGTTGAGTATGATTCCAATTGAGTGGATATTATTTGTTTATGATTGTTTTAGTATTGATTCATGATATTATAATGATATTACATGTTTTCCATGGTTAACCCTAGTCTAATTGATTAAATTGAATTATGTGGGTTTATGCCATGAAAGGTGAAATTGAGGATTCATAGGTGATCTTTTAGAATTGATGTTACGAGTAGTAATTGTTCAAGATTAGGAACATGTAGATATGAATTGAATTAGATTCTAGTATATATGATGGATCATGACTAGTAAGGTTGAAGTTGAACCTTTATGATGAATTATGAGTAGAATCACCTACTAATGAAGAATATGATTAGAGTGCCTTGAAATCTAGGTATGGATGATAATTTTAAGAAGTAAAGCTTTGAGAGTAAGGATAGTAGCCATGAATGTTAGGGCTTTGAGAGTAAAGCTAATATGATGTGATCTTGTTGTGTATTGTTGAAAGCATATTCTCACTTACACAGGCATAAAAATGCTAGGAGATGCAAGGTTCTCTCATATAGAATGATTCTAGGTTGAAAGACTTAGTAACCTAAAATGAATCAAAGCATTTTAGACTAGAATAGCTTGAAGTTGTGACATATGATCCCTTCATGTATACCTTGACTTGGAAGGACAAGACCAAAATTGGTAGCCTAGGATGGAGGAACCATACTCTCCTAAGGGTAGCTTGAGTTACCAATGTAGGATGATCTCATGGTAGCTTGAATTAGTGGTAGTCATGGTAGCCTAGGATTGAGGACACATACTCTCCTAAGGGTAACATGAACTAGTATTTGTTGGATGCCTTTATGATAGAATGACTTGGTTAGGCCAAGACCATTTCATGGTAGCTTAGGATTGAGGACACATACTCTCCTAAGGGTAGCTTAGGATTGAGAAATCATACTTTCCTAACGGTATCTTGCATTAGCATCATAGTGTGCTTGTAAGGGTAGCATGACTTAGTTGGCCTAAGACTATTTCATGGTAGCCAGGATGGAACACTTGTATTCCTAGAATAGCTTGGACTTGCATGACTAATATGTCTTCTATGGTTTCTAGGTCTAGCCTAATAGGGTGCTATTACTTGGTAGTCTAGAATGATAAATTGTAATCATTGAATATGATAGCCTAAAATAGTACTAGGTGTGAATGGTATTATGGGATGTCATTCATGCATTGCACAAGCACTACCAAAAAATCGCCTTTTAGCCACGGTTTATTAGCCACGGTTGCGAAAATTGTGGCAAAATTAGCTAAAAAATAAAAAATTCTCTACATAGTACGAACTGTGGCTAAAATAGGCGGGTAAAATTTCATTCCCTCCCTTTATTTTTTCATTTGCCTCTTTTTCTATTATTTCCCTCTACTCACTCTCTTTTCTCTCACTTCACCCAAAACCAACCCCCAAAATCTAAATCGATTTCTGCCCAAAATTCAACTCTCTTCTTCAAAGTCGATTTCTGTCAAAAGCCGCTTCAAATAGTTGTGTAATGTGGTAAGTTTGCTTCGTTCAAGTAACAAATCTTTGGAATCTAGTGTATTTAAACTCAAAATTGAATGTAGGGTTTTGGATAAAGTTTTTGTTTATTGAAGTTATGAGCTTTTGAAATCTGCAATTTGATGTGTTTTTATTGGGTTTTCTTGTTGTAAAGAATAGAAATTTTAGTGGTAGGTTATACATCCTACTTTATTTATGTTGGAAAAATCATGCTCACACCTCTGGAAAGATTGATGGATATATTTTCACCACAAATTTTGTAGATAAGATTATACATTGGAGGAATTATTACCATAAATCGATAACCTATATACTAATATATAAATCTTGAGAGGTGTGAAATTTTGCTGGATTAGATCTCCTTTTTTTTGTTCTATGCATTTCAAACCATGTTCTAGTTATTGTTTGTTTCTGTATAAGGAACATGAATTTAAGTCCAACATTTGAAAAATTAAAGAGCAGTGCCTATCTGGGATCAAATACGTTACTACTTGTTTTAAGTTTTATTGGGTTTTCTAGTTGTAAGAGCACAATCATTGTTAGAAAGCCTACGAGGACGACAAGCTGACAACAATAGCACAACTTCCTTAAATTTTGATCAACTAGATGACCAAGTTGTGAATGAGAATATCACAACTCCTACTCTCGGTAATGGCAATTTAATTTCTTCTTCAAGTTTTGTTGGAGCTAGCTCACAAGTGAAAAATGAGTCGTTACTTGTCCACATTAGAGGTTAGAAGTAAGTTCATATTAGAGTTGATTGTTGCTTTTTATGCTTTATTATTAGTTTGTTGTTATCATTACTTTTCATTTGTGTTAATGGCTTGTTAAAATGATAGATACTTCAATCGGAGAAGTTACTACTCAAAAGATGCAATCAGATCGAGTTTGGAACTTTGAAAAAAATTAAAAAATTATGGTGGAACTTGGTGATGAAAAAGGAAGTGACAATGGTTCAAATTTGCTTGTGAGATTTCTTGGCAAACTTTCTCAAATGTTTGTATTTTGTCCCATATTAGTTGAGTGATGGGATAAGATACCACATGAAAAAACAAAACGACAATGGCAACTTATTGAGGTAACTAGCTAACTTTATTGCCATTCAAATAAATGTTATCTTTTTTCAATAGGTATTGATTTATGAATACAAACATATTTGAAGCAGAATTTTGAGTTTGATTATGAGATAGGATTTAAATGGGTGAAGCAATCTTTATGCGAGAGGTGAAGGACCCTTAAATAAAAGTTACGATGTAATAACTTCTACCCCAACAAAAGTAAAGAAGAGCTACTTGCCAAGCCTCCCGAAAATGTGGATCCTATTGATTGGACTACCTTTGTGCATCATTGTAATGAGGATAAGATGAAGACAATTGTTGTTCATAATTTGATTCTTTCTTTCTCTTATTTTTTGGGTAAATAATTTTTATTAATAACCAAAATGGACTTTACAACTCAAGGAAAAAATAAAAACAGAAGAACTAGGTTCGATATTCATTCGAAATCTCTAGGCTTGCATATGTAGACTCTTAAAAAAACAATTTCAACATAGTTTACGTTGGGTATACATTCAGTTCTCCTAGTTTTCTAGCCGACTGAGGTCTCAAATTGGCTCTCAAATATACTTTTTGAAGGATGATTTTGATCAAGACTTCATCTATTCTTCTTGGTTTTGGAATATCCTCAGTTAGACATCTGCCACAAGTGTTAAATTATCCTTGTAAGTGTCATTCTGTAAATAGCATCCCATGAAACATTTCCTTTGCATTAGTTTTCAGCCCATCGCAATTCACCCTGCTACTCCATTGGACTCCTGCTACATAACAACTTTACTTTAGGAAAGTATGGAAAGGAAGAAATATGAAACTTTATAACTCCTAAGTTCTGTACATACACAATATAACTCATTTTGTACATTTAAATATGCCTTCAACTATAAATACAATAAGAATTAGAAGTTATAACTTATAAGCTAAATTTGTAGAGACAAAAATGGCTGAAAATTACTAGTTACTTATAAGAAACCTATGTGATGTCAATGAATTCTTCAAATATGTTGGTAAGTTCTTGTTTTGGCTTTGCAATGTCTGTTTTTGCTCTCTCCCTTCAACATCATTAGAGCTTAAACTCTTTTCTCGCTCCAATATCTTCCTTTTAAATTTTATATTGCATCCTTTGTGTGGAAGTAGATACTCTTTTTAAGATGCCAATAATTATGAAATAGGATATAGTTGTATGGTTGTTGAGAAATCTAAATGAACATGTTATAAAGACCATTGTGAGTCTGAAAATTTAAGACTAATTTTTTGTTTGCTTTCATTAAGTAATATTGTTGGTGTTGGCTGTGTTAAAGCGATTTATATAGCTTTAAGAACTTGTGTCCTACATCTTGTGAAATTGTGCCCTTCTATTACATGTAATTAAATTTATGTTTGAGAATTACAGAAATAAAGTGCACAAAATGTAAAAAATAGAAAGAAACTTAGAGTTTTGCATGTCGGTGGTAGCAAAAGCAATGCAAGGAGAAGTCATCAAATGGTATATTTCTTAACCTTGAATTCTATTTGGAAATCATGTTATTGTATCAAGTGAAATGTGTTTCATGTTTATTTTTTATTTATATATACTTGATTAATGACAGGAGCAAGAATTGGGAAGACCTGTGTGTTCCCCTTAGAATATCATAACATAAGATATTAGAAAAGTACGGAAATGTTAAAAACTTTATCCATAAAATCGAAATCTTTTATAAAAGCAAGCGGAAGTTTTTACTACACTTTGTCTCAAACCATCTAATAAAACTTTGAATAAACTCTTGGGTCACAGCCCATACCATAGTCTCAAAACATGAAAATAAAAGACATAAACGAAATAATGGCTTTGTCCTCGAAGCTATGAGGACTGACCAAATCTTTAACTCCTTGCTCCTTAGAAACCTATCCTCAAGAATGGAACTCAAGATCGCCGAACCCTACACTTGATGAGAGTGTAGCAAAGTAAGTGTTAGTACAAAAGTACTAAATATGTTAGCTAGCATAACATCATAAGATCATAACATAAGGGTTAGTCAACATAAGACATAATAAAAATACTTTATAAAACATCAACTGTAAGCATAAGAGACAATATCATAATCATAAGCAAAGTCTCCAACATAAGCATCATATAAACATTATTCAACTCTTAGTCTTTCACATCATAAGTGAACTACTTCTGAAGTAACCTCAAAGCATACCTGTGCAATGCATGAATAAGACCCCATAATCCCAACCAAGCTAAGTATCCCTTTTTGGTCATCTTAAACATAGTATATATATATAGTCAAGTCTTAGGCTTTCATATCATAAGAGCACTATACTCCTAAGTAACCTCAAAGCACACTTGTACAATGCATGAATGACATACCATAATACCATTCACACTAAGCATGACCTTGAAGTCACCTTATTTAAACTTACCATTCATTTGGTCTCAAGCTTACTTCATATAGACAAGGAAACTATTACCTTTAGTCAATCATATCATGGAAGGCAACTACAACAACAACCCAAGCTAAACATACAACATATAAAACATAACTTCATAAGTAACTTCAAGTCATACTTCACTACAAAAAATTCGCATTTTAGCCACGCGTGAAACTGTGGCTAAATGGTCACCAAACTGTGGCTATCACGTATTGCCCACGGCCACTTAGCCACGGTCGGTTGCGTGCCCAACAGGGGCGTCGCCATGAAATTTGCCACGGTTTTAGCGTCCGTGGTAACATTCTTCTAGCCACGGTTTAGATTGTGTTTAGCCACGGTCTACCCATGGGTAAATTTGCCTACAACAAATCATGACTTACCCATATATTAGCCGTGGCTAGTTTAGGCGTTGGTAATTTGCTCATAACTTTCATACAAAATATGAACTAGCTACGGTTCAACCGTGGCAAAAGTGTGTTTTTTTAAAAAAAAAACACACTTTTGCCACGGTTGAACCGTAGCTAGTTCATATTTTGTATGAAAGTTATGAGCAAATTACCAACGCCTAAACTAGCCACGGCTAATATATGGGTAAGTCATGATTTGTTGTAGGCAAATTTACCCATGGGTAGACCGTGGCTAAACACAATCTAAACCGTGGCTAGAAGAATGTTACCACGGACGCTAAAACCGTGGCAAATTTCATGGCGACGCCCCTGTTGGGCACGCAACCGACCGTGGCTAAGTGGCCGTGGGCAATACGTGATAGCCACAGTTTGGTGACCATTTAGCCACAGTTTCACGCGTGGCTAAAATGCGAATTTTTTGTAGTGAAGTATGACTTGAAGTTACTTATGAAGTTATGTTTTATATGTTGTATGTTTAGCTTGGGTTGTTGTTGTAGTTGCCTTCCATGATATGATTGACTAAAGGTAATAGTTTCCTTGTCTATATGAAGTAAGCTTGAGACCAAATGAATGGTAAGTTTAAATAAGGTGACTTCAAGGTCATGCTTAGTGTGAATGGTATTATGGTATGTCATTCATGCATTGTACAAGTGTGCTTTGAGGTTACTTAGGAGTATAGTGCTCTTATGATATGAAAGCCTAAGACTTGACTATATATATATACTATGTTTAAGATGACCAAAAAGGGATACTTAGCTTGGTTGGGATTATGGGGTCTTATTCATGCATTGCACAGGTATGCTTTGAGGTTACTTCAGAAGTAGTTCACTTATGATGTGAAAGACTAAGAGTTGAATAATGTTTATATGATGCTTATGTTGGAGACTTTGCTTATGATTATGATATTGTCTCTTATGCTTACAGTTGATGTTTTATAAAGTATTTTTATTATGTCTTATGTTGACTAACCCTTATGTTATGATCTTATGATGTTATGCTAGCTAACATATTTAGTACTTTTGTACTAACACTTACTTTGCTACACTCTCATCAAGTGTAGGGTTCGGCGATCTTGAGTTCCATTCTTGAGGATAGGTTTCTAAGGAGCAAGGAGTTAAAGATTTGGTCAGTCCTCATAGCTTCGAGGACAAAGCCATTATTTCGTTTATGTCTTTTATTTTCATGTTTTGAGACTATGGTATGGGCTGTGACCCAAGAGTTTATTCAAAGTTTTATTAGATGGTTTGAGACAAAGTGTAGTAAAAACTTCCGCTTGCTTTTATAAAAGATTTCGATTTTATGGATAAAGTTTTTAACATTTCCGTACTTTTCTAATATCTTATGTTATGATATTCTAAGGGGTCTTATGAGACCCTTTCGGGGTCAAGTACGCCATGGTACTTCTAGGGTGTACCCCTGGGTCATAACAAACTTGGTAATCAGAGCACAAGGTTTAGAATGGTTCTAGGATTGTCTTAAACCACGTCTAGTAGAGTCTTGTTCATAAATGTGAGTCGTGCCACATTTATGAATCAAAGGCTATTGAATGTTTAGGAAACTTCACTTCTTCATTCTCTAAGTCATGCCATAGAGTTTAACTCTATAAGGTCTCTCTCCTACTCCTTATTCGATGGTCTTTAGGATATGACTACTCGAAGGGCTCATGCTACAAGGTGTGAGGGAGAAAGGTTGGTTGTGATGCCAATTATGGCTATGTGACTAGACAGACTTTGATGTTGTCTTTAGTATGAATGGGTGTCATGATGAGTTTTGAGGTATGTTGATAGATTTGATAAATAGGGTGGTTAAGTAATGCCTAGATGGGTTGAGTGAATAGACTCCTCTAAGTAAGGTAGAAGTGTAATTCACCTTGGGTTAGAATCATCTTGTGTGATGGATGTGAAAGTTTAGTGATAACTTGCTTTGACCTTAGAATTGAAAGAAATGAGGCTTAAAAGAGTTTGTATAGGCTTACTCCCAAGTGGGAGATGATATTAGATAGCAAGGTCATCGAGTGTTCTTG